TAAATAACATAAAACCTTTTTATATTAATACTCAGCTAGCCACTCTTCATCTGTAATCGGTTCGTAGTTGTACTTTAAAGCGTTCATGTCGCGATATGCTTCAGGATTCTGCGAAGTGGTCTTTGATAAATTGGTCTTATTGCCCATTGATCGATTTCAGATTCAACTTCATAATTACTCAGAAATGTAACAATAGGGTCTAAATGGGGTTAACTGTTAACTGAGAAACGGCTAAAATAATAACTGTTAACTGAGAATTTCAGGTTTATTTAGCTGATAACTGATATTAAACAAGATAACTGTTAGCTGATATTCCTTTGTTTGCACATGTTTTGCATGTAAGTGAAGCTTGTTCCCAGGTCTTCTCTGTTGTTTTTTTTCAAAATGGCAGAGAGAGATACCCCTGGCATCGGCCGGTCACGTGACACCGACTCTCTGTGGGTGTTTAGTTTGGAATACCGCTGAATGCAGGCACCAAAAATGACACGACCCCGATGACGATTCCTTTGCTCTGCATGTGCTACCACACACTCGCAGGGCTGCGGTCCCCCAATTTTTTCTTCCGAAAAATTAATAATAAATGAAATCAGTAAGAATAATAAAAAAAATTGATCAGAGCTCGACTATACGAAGGCATGTGATGACGGCATCAAGTTGGAAACGTTAAAGACTGCTTCAGATACTGAAGGACGAGGGTTCTATGGAATATTTTCGTTGCATACTTTCCGTAGTTATGAAACTATCCAAAGCAGAGAAAAGCTTAGTTAGTGAGGCGGTGACGCTAAGTAAGTTGTTGGCAGTCAGCAACCACCAGCGCTTCGTGYGAACGATCATATTTAGCAGTGCGACGTCTGACTGGCTAAGATCAAATATGACAAAACAACGATGCAGCAATCTCACGCTACTAACTATTGACTTTGGATTGTTACGATCAAAAATGCATTTTTTTATTGTTAAGTTTCGCAAAATTTCCATAACTTTTAATGCATCATATGTCTTCTCGATGCTCTCAAAATGCTGGAAATTATATGACTTAGATAGTACGTGCGCTCCGATTTTATTTTATAAAAGTGGGACTGGGAGTTGAAAAACACTCGAGAAGCAAGAGAAACACTCGCTACGCTCGTGTTCCTAAGCTTGATTCTCTCGTGTTTTTCGAACTCCCACCGTGTTTATATCAAACAAGGAGCCATTTGTGAAGAGCTTTTGTTTAGATGCAAAATATTGTAAAAAACTGTCACAAACAAATTTATTAAATGCTAATTTTTACATTTGTGATGTCACATTTTTTTAGATGAAGAAC